TATATTTGAACATTGTAAAAATTACAAACACTAAAACAAAACATTAAATTGTACAACTGACTCACAAAGAAAAACAATAAATAATTAACCATCCAGCTGGTATTAAAACATAGGGAAATAAAATATTGTTAGTTGACACTGGATTGAATATATATCAAGGGCCCATGTTATATTCTTCGCGTGGAAATAGTATCATTTACTCACCTTGGATGGAAATAATACATGTTCTCTATAAAAGTGAGAAGATATACTATAAAATGCCTTTATTAAAGAAACGAAAGTAATTTGTGGTCAGATAAAAATAAAGAAACAAGAGTAAAATTACAGAGTCCATATATTGAATTTTAAACACTGTTTGGATAGGAAATGTTCTCCAATGTCGTATTTAATTACTATTTGAATGCCTGAAAGTGTTTTAGACAGAGATTTTTTACTGTGGATTTTTCCTTATCTTAGTTCATAGAAACACAATTTTGCATTTCTTTACATGATAAAATATAAAAGGTATAGATTAAGTTAAAAAAATGCAGTTATTAATATTGTCCACACGGTTAGCCATGTCTATTGACTAGATCAGCTTATACCGTACTTGATATACTTAGTTTTGAAGGCAACATACAAGTTAGAATGGTACAGAATTTTAATATACTCACGATTATCAATCTGTCATCGAATAATGTAGTGTTGTTGGTATTTAGGTTCGTCAACATTATAATATATTAATCATATTTTTATGATAAAGTAAGTTAAAGGATAATTTAAGGGAATTTTAAAACAAGAATTATCTTATAACTTTTAGAAATCCAGTCAAAATTGAAATAAAACATGCCTGCATAAAACTAAAGTATTAATCTTTTCGAATATTCACATTGAAAACAAAATATATATTTTAAGGATATTTTCATAATACAAGTATTAAGAGACTAAATAGTTATTTGTGTAACTAGTGGGCAAAGTCAGTTTGCACTCGCGTTACACATTATATTTTTCCTTTTCCTACAGTTACACGTTTTTGGGTTAGGTTAAATCCAATTATTAAACGAAATGGGAAACGCTGCACCAGCTGATCTTAAGTCATAATATCTTCTAGCATTACCAACTTATTTTCAAGCGTATACATATTACGTGCCTAGTAAAAAAACACATTGTTTTGTGTTATTTGGTTGGAATACTGGAGTTCGAAAAAAAACTGGGCGGCAAAAGTAAAAAGTGCACGGCAAAGTAAGTAGATGCAGCAATGAGCTAATTTCTGTGCAAAGAATCAGTGCAAAGAAGGCCACTTTTTTCAGGAGACTGTAGGAAAATAGTATTTATATGATAAACTAGCAGATTACCCGTCCTTCGTACGGGGTTGGAATAAGTATAAAATGCTTATTGCAGTTATACTCAAGCTTTGCGTTTGCAATAAAGGAGGACACAGTTTGATAAAATTTGCTTTTTTAAATTTACAGTAGTCTATAGTATTACACATCTACCATAGCCATAATGTTCTACCACTTTACCTAAACAATAGAGTAAAATAAATTATCAACAATTCGCAAAATATCCCAAATTATTCATGAAATGAAAAACACAAACATAACTGTAAACAATCCTACTTTGACAGTTCTCATTGCGAATCACAGTTTTTTGTTGCTGCTTAGTTCAAATTAGCTGTTTTCATAAATGCAAAAAAATATAGTGCTGCACCCTGTTGGTAAGTCTAATAACTTTTTAATGCTTTTCCATATCATAGAACCAACTTTTTTAGTTGAAACAGCTGACTAAATTATTTAATTCCCTTTAAATATGAATACTCATAAGGTTAACATGGGAAATTACAGAGCCACTGGGGCGGAGCCCGAAAGGATTTTTGAGATAAGAATATGCCTATATGTTAATCGGGAATGTAAGCTATCATCATGCCAAATTTCAGCCCAATCCGTCCAGTGGTTTATGCGTGATTGAACTTCAAACACACAAACAAACAAACAAACAAACAAACAAACAAACACACAAACTTTCACATCTATACTATTATAAAAAAGAGGCGGTTGCTGTATGTGTGTATGTGTGTATGGGAAAAGTAAACTCGAAAAATACTGGTCGGATTGGGCTGAAATTTGGCATGATGATAGCTCACATTCCCGATTAACATATAGGCATATTCTTATTTCAAAAATCCTTTCGGGCTCCGCCCCAGTGGCTCTGGAGTTTCCCATGTTAACCTTATGAGAAATGGAATTATTAAATCTTAACAGCTGTTTCAATTAAACAAGTTGGTTCTGTTCTATGATGTTCAATAGCATTAAAGTTACAAGGATTACCAACAGGGTGCAGCACTATTATTTCTTTTACATTTATGACAACAGCTATTTTGCAACCAAAAGGTGAGTGAGCGTAGCGAACGAACTTCAACCTGGAGGCGAGTTAGCGTAGCGAACGAGCTAACCTGAAGGCAAGTGAGCGCAGCGAACGAGCTCCAACCTAAAGGTGAGTGAGCGTAGCGAACGAGCTCCAACCTAAAGGTGAGTGAGCGTAGCGAACGAGCTCCAACCTAAAGGTGAGTGAGTGTAGCGAACAAACTTCAACCAGGACGTGATTGAGCCATGCGAGCGAGATAATCTTGAAAATTAAGAAGTTAAACGGGGCAAAGCCTGCGGGTTAAAGCTAGTTTATAATATTAGTAAGATATTTTAACGTGGAAAATAATCATGTTCATTTTCATGCTCAAGTTGTTGCTAACAGATCGTCTTTACTCCTCTTTATTAAGGACAGGAATCATGCTAATTAAAGTGTATACTTCTTTACACTTATTTCTTTAAGAAAGCTAGATGGTAGATGTATTTATTAATTATCAATTTTAAAAGATGATCTTTAGTTAGCATACTAAACAATATTATTTGTAGAATTTCACAGTTTATTTTTGATTGAATATTTTACTTCGTGAAAAGATTTAAGAGTTTGTTTTATAATCATAATGCACGAAAGTTCAGTGTTTTGCTCTACATTACAAATCTGCTGATTTAATCTTAATCTGGTTACATCCTCTGGGAATTAACAGCTTATTTATTTAGACTACCTTCTAAACATATTCAAAGCATTTTAATTTTTAATTTCTATCTCACTAAAAAATGTTTGGGTTATTTAAATACATCACACTACAATTATCCTCCTTGGAAAATGAATTTTTTTATAGTGTTTAAGTGCTTTGTAACCAAAGTAAAAAATATTATATTTATTTATTTATTGCTTTTGACATTTTTCCATTGTGTAGCAAACATAATTATTCTAATAAATACAATATCTTACAAGGCAGTAACACATGCATAATTTAGTTCCCCTATTTGGTATATAATCTTATCTTACTAATATTATAAATGTGAAAGTTTGTGTGTTTGTTTGTTTGAAGTTCAATCACGCATTAATTACTGGACGGATTGTTCTGAAATTTGGCATGATGATAGCTCACATTCCCGTTTAACATATAGGCATATTCTTATCTCAAAAATCCTTTCGGGCTCCGCCCCAGTGGCTCTAGAGTTTCCCATGTTAACCTTATGAGTACTCATATTTAAATGGGATTAAAGAATTTAGTCAGCTGTTTCAGATAAAAATGTTAGTTCTATGGTATGCAAAAGCATTAAAAGTTATAAGATTACCAACAGGGTGCAGCACTATTATTTTTTAATTTATGAAAACAGCTAATTTGAATAAAATAGCAACACAAAACTGTGATACGCAATGAGAACCGTCTGTTTACAGTTTTGTTTATTTTTTTTAATTTCACGAATAATTGTGATATTTTGTGAATCTTTGATAATTGTTTTCTATTTTTTGGGTGAAATGGTAGAACATTATGGTTATGGTAGATGTGTAATACTATAGCATATCGTAAATTTAAAGAAGCAAATTTTATCATACTGTGTCCTCCCCCATTGCAAACGCAAAGCTTGAGTATAACCACAGAATATAGATACATAAAGTGGTATAAAGTGGTACAACTGTACTAAACATTTTATACTTTTATGCCAATCTCGTACGAAGGACGGGTACTCTGCTAGTATCATATATAGCGATGGAGCATTAAAACCCAAATGTTGACAACGTAGAAAGAAAATTTACATCTCTACTTTGCTCTTTCCTGTATTTGTAACAATCTTATGTAACAGAGAACAAAATACAGGAAAATAAACAAAGCCAAGGAATAATCTAAACCTTATCTGTGCAAAAAGAGCGAATTAATGTTTATCCATCATACAAAATACATTTACTAATTTACTTGTAAGCGAAACAGAAAAAAACCCAGTTTAAGTCTGTAACAACAACGTTACTTTGTCGATATTATTTTGATTTCGTTTGTGAATTTACTACGAAGAGCGCCAGTGTTTCATATCGATTGTATCTTTGAATGTTCAGTGCTGCTACCGGGTGGCGAACAACTGAACTGGCTACTGTTGTTACGTTTTGTCACAAGAATACGCTTACTGTATTCGGAGCTAGTTAATGTTGCATATCTTAGCGTTGATTTTAATACCACCTGATGCACAACTATAGCTATTTTGTATTTTGCCAACAAAAAAAAACCGATTATTTGTTGTTTAATAATATAAAATCATTGTTAACATTATTATAACATTAAATATTCCGAAAAACCAAAAAAACTAACAAAGTTAAAACTTTACAGTAACGCCAAAATTGAAGATCCCCTATAATACTAAAATGCTATTGACCACAATCATTTGAATGAGTAGGATAATATTTAATTACGAATGAAGGAGTAGAATGGAGTTGGGTGTATGTTACTGTTATTGCTTGGTACTATATAAGACCAGCTGTCTTAAGTCTATAACAGTTAAAACCTCAACTGCATTATGCAGTTTTAGAATTAATGTTGATCGAGGGCAGCGAGGCCTAGTTTAGAGCTATCAACATGACCAAGTCGGTAAGCTTCTTATTAGGCGAGTACTATATCCACTCAGGCACCCCACTGTTTTATAAGTTATAGTGACACTATGTACCTTTAGGACCGAGATTCTGATCACCGAGGTAGAAAGGCCCCTGTCTGGTGACGATCTCGTGGACGATGATAGCGAAGGAGTAAACGTCTCCCCTTTGCGTCCCCTCAGCCGGGGGGTGCCTCATCCTCAGTAACTCCGGTGCTGTCCATAGCAGCTCTGTCAAACAATGGTCAAGAAGATGTATTGCAGACGTTAGTAGCTCAATAACAATAATAAATACAATAAAAATAGAAAGACAAATAATTAGTTATTGCAAGTGTCGTAGTTTTTATCATGTGTATAGCCATTGAGTATAGGTTTATACTCAATGGTATAGCTCATAAAATGTAAGGATGTATGTCTCGGTATGTAAACATTATATGCATAATAAACTTATGGTTACTGAAGAATTGTGAATGGATAATCTGTATTAAATATAAATTAATAGACACTGCTTGGAAACTCTGTTATTGGAACGATATTCTGTGCTTAGAATTTATGTGTAAAATTACAATAATGAAGTGCGCTAGTATATAACATGATTATTTCCAACAATGTCTTAAAAATTATGTTAATCCATGCAAACCACCACCTTACACAGAACGATCCTCGAAAAGTATTGTAAAAACGACGGTGTAGGTCTACAATTTTGTATGTTTATAGAAATAACTTATTTTGGAATTATTTATTAATTGAAAGTCTTAAAGAGTTAAATAAAAGGACCGCCGACCCGATGCCCTTTACATGTGGAAAGTCACTGGATGCTTACTTCTCCAGGAGGCGTAGGAGTCACTTCCACTACAGGAGTCTTCGCTCTGTCGCAGTGACCTCAGGCCGAAGTCTGCTATCTTGAGCACGAACCTACTGTCCACCACGCAGTTGGACGACTTGAGCGAACCGTGGGACTTTATCTCGCTCGCGTGTATGTAGCTCATGCCCTGAAACATAAGTAAGTAATAGTATGGATACGGAAGTAAGTGACTAGTATATAGTTTTGAAACCTACATACTCATAGAATAATGCACAAAAATGTTTACTAGCACAGCTAAATGTTACAGTATCACAAAACTAAATATATATATTTGTTTGCAAACTACAACCAAGTCTCGTCCATGGGCCTGGGTTGTGTCAGATTACCGGAAATATGCCAAATCTAACTTTATTGTCTGGAAAATGAAACTCATGAAGACTTACAACAACATAGAGCTGAATTATTTGGTGTTAGAAATAATAAGTTGTAGACATTATTTTACAGAAAAACAACATTAAAACATTAGAATTGATTATTGTGAAGTAAACACGGTTTAAACACAAGCAGGTCAGTTATATATTACATTCTTGACTAATAAATGATCCATCCAATTGTCATTAAGGAACGCAAAACTGGACTCGACATCGAGTGTGGAAAGACACGAGACTCTGGCCAAAATCTGAATTATTTACAGAAATGTAAAGATATCGGCCGAAGACTTCATATCAAATGTGACTCATATCATGAAATGTGTGTATCTAACAAGTCTGGAACTAACAAGAGTCAACAGTACAAACAACAGTAAAGCTACTTATGACTACGGAATAAGTTGGCTAAAATCATATTAATTTGATAATATTAAAGCTATATAACTATCATCTACGCACCTTGACTATGTCATGCATGAGACTGTATCTGAACATCCAGTCGAGTTTGAACTGGTCGTTCTCTAGGATATCCTGCAGCGAGCCCTTGGGGCAGTACTCGGTCAACAGGAAGCAGATGTCCGGCTGGTCTATACACGCGCCGTAGAACCTGACCAGGTGATCGTGGTGGAGGTCCTTGAGCTAAAACGAGAGAAAATTGCTAGTATCATTTGTTCTAAAATAATATCCATTCATCAGTTTTACAAGATATAATATATTTACTTTTCCGTATGTTTACTAAGCCTATGTTTGCCGCTGACTTAACTGCTCTAAATATGATTTTGACTTATCGTAACAGAAATTTAACGATTTGTTCCTATTGATACTCGTATTAAACTGTTGACATAATGAAGTCTTAGAACTTGTGCAACAAATTAGCTAAAATACAACATATGCTTGTCCACAAAAAACACGATGTACGTGTTATAAATAAAGCAACCTATGAATCTATGAAAAATTACAAGTTTGATTCATTTGTTGTTCGCTCGACCATTCATGAGAGCCTGCAATAAAATTATGATTGTTATTAAATATATTACACTTGTTTGATCCTCAACCCATAATGAGACCCTTTATTTGGACTAAGTAAGTATTTTTCAGGATTACGTTTTACTATTTCAAATATAAAAATTGCCTAATTGTTCGTTAGTTTTCATTTGAATTTAAAAGGTTGATTTGATAGGAGTTAAATTTTAAAAATTACACAATGCAAATTGGTAAGGTGTAGAAACTAAAAAAATGAACATAATTTTCTGAGGTGAACCAATTACACAAACTTATTGGGAATGCCTCGGACACACTATATACAATAATTTTATATGTTTACAGTGTGTGAGCGTGTATTTTATAATTTATCATTAGACGCCTAATTTTATTCAAATAACGCATCTAATTAACTGAAGTAATGTTTCATGTTTTATTCCATATTGTTGGAAAATATATAGTAAGTCAAAATCAAAGATACCGACCGTTCAATGTAAATCACTGCCAGAGTTTTACCATTTCCCAGGATTTCCTTTGTTGCTTTGGCGAATGGCCTTGTCCTACATAGAGATTCATGTGTGGCTTGGTACACTACATCATAGGTACATAAAAAGCTTACAATGTTCCTACTAGAAACTGGAGGGACGCCCATAAATCTGTGGATTGAGATAGAGTTAGAAAACGTACGCAAACATGTGAATACTCTCAATAGCACTACTACATCTTCGTCCAATCCGATCTTTCGATCCTTTTTTATCCACACTCTGTATAACCTTTAAGAAAGACGCCTTGTCCCTGTGTTCCTATCTACTTATCTTTCTCCGTTTTAGGTCCACAATTTGTATAGCTTTATTTATGAATACCTAGCTTACCATCTATTTTCCTTTTTAATCCCCAAATTTTAATTCTTGGCAGTGGAATTAGATGCACTATTGTTCCATATAATATTATGTATTCCATTTTTTGTGACAGAATTCAGACGATCATAAACCATTATTTGCACAGAAACATTTGATTGCTAAATAAATCTTTTCGTAAGTTTGTATTAGTTTTTTTTGTAAATCCATTTTCACGTAATAAAACATCCACCACAAGATAACATTCCCCTATACGTTCTGAGGTTTCAGTATTTCAATATTGATTTATAACTCTCAGATTCTCAGTTGATTTTACAAAGATAGTTTTTGATTATTTCCTCTCTAATGTTTTAAACATCTTAACATATTCCAGGTCTTCTGCAACATTATCACACCATTATCTTGATAACAGTGAAGTGACACATTTGCTCAATCAGTACAAGGATTGATTAAATTATAATTAAACACGAGGGTTAACGACTTCATACTGGAGTTACAGTTCAAAATATATGTATTGTATACGAAAAATTAATACAAATTAAATATTTAATACACACAGTTAAGATACCCATCATGAGCGAAAGAAATATTCTCTTTAATTGTATTTTGAAAGATTTTTATGTATCAAAACTAAAATGAATACATATTATAGGTATTTTGTAAACAAATTTTAAACCTAAACCATCGTCTTAGTTTCATTTAGAAGTATTTCGGCCAAATTGGCGTGAGTAGTGAGTCTTCAACACGATGTCCACGTATTTCTTGAGTAGGCTATTGAGAACAGTTTTTATTTTGAATAAACATTAATATACACAACATGATCTGTTGTGATCACGGTTTATTTCGACATATTCCTGAAGAACATTGATATATTTGCAGTTTAGCGTTCACCATTTTGGACAAACCCCATATAAAAAATATTCTTTAGTAATAAGCTTTATGGTGTATGCCTTTACCCGTTGTATTCAATGAATTTCCGTAAACTAGTGTACCTTTTGCTCGAAATTGAGCAATTTACAAGTACTGGTGTTTCAGGAGCTATTTTAAAACTAATAACAACGATGATTTTCGACGAGTGTAAAGGACTTAACTAAAAGATTATGTAATTAATGGAAATACTCTGTTAATAACAGTTCGTTCGTTAATCTTGTTTTTTTGGAGGGGTTTTCTACAAATGTTCCCGACCTACCCATAGCCGTATAAAGTTGACTTATGTCTATATTCGCCATTGATATTGTAGCTGAAGTGATACCACCATTGTCGTCAGGATAGTTACAAATTTAGAATATTATTCTTTTTGAATAGCAATACAAATTGTTAATTTTACTCAAGTACTACCCAATATCCTGCATTATCTGTTGTTATAATTGTATTTGCTACATTGACTTTATCTTGGTTGGTTGGTGTAAGGTAATAACGTCAATTATATTTCCCTGAAAAAATGCAGAGTTAAAAGTTCCGACGTTGTTTGGGTTTTTTGTTTCCCTTAACTGTGAATAATTTATTCCTACAATAAAAGTTTTAATAAAGGTTTCTCGGGTGTAGTCCTATTCTACTGATTGCTCAAGAAATAGAGTACTGCGTCAATTTAGTTTGTTTTTTGTGTTAAATATACCAAATCGACCAGGCTTTCTCACCTTCATTTATGAGAATGTGTTCAAAAACCTAAATTTTGAGATGTTATACTGAACCTATATATAATAATATGCAGAGCATAGATTTTAGAGCCAAAATTAAAACTGTAAATCCCTTTATTACTCAATGCCAGTAAATCATTACAAATGTTATTATGCAGACAACAAATAGTTTTAATAGCACAAAATCATGTAATTATTCAAACTAAGTCAGTAAATGTTTGTAGGACGTGTTTCTTTTTATTGCAACTTAATGTTAACAGTAATTAAATTAACCACCTGATAATAATGTAAACAAAAAAGTTAAAATGGGAACTTTAAAGCAACTGGGACAGAGCCAGATGGACTATTAGGAAATGTCAGACCTTATATGACATCTACTCAATGAAATCTTTCAAATGATACATTAATGAACAAAGTCCGATTAAAGTTTGAACAAGTCGGTTAAGAAATTACGGAGGAGTTCTGCCGACAAAAATCGTGCTTGCCTATTTTATAAATAGATTATAAGAAATGAGTTTATTTTGTAATTTTCAATAATTACTATACTTGACATGATATATCGATATTCAATGAAATTTCGTGACATGAGAAACACAATGATTGTTGCTTAAACATGTTGCTGGTATCGTACTTTGTGCTGGCAACTACGGAATAAAGTATTTGTTCAACTCACCACATAATTTTATATATAATACACCACATTTTAGATATAATAATAATGAGTGTAATTAATTAGCTTTTGATATGTGTTTGACCTACATATCAAAAGCTAATTAATTACACTCCTAAAAATTATCGTGTTAGTTATGCTAAGGAGTATGGAATGTTGAAGTTGCTTAAGCGAAGGATATCGAGCGGTGTTTACAGTGCGAGGGTGAAGACCATTTCCTCTAATTGGCCCCGTGTAACAGTTCCTACGACTGCCTCATTCCGGGAATATTTACCTCTAGTTGGCCCCGTGTAACAGTTCCTACGACTGCCTCATTCCGGGAATATTTACCTCTAATTGGCCCCGTGTAACAGTTCCTACGACTGCCTCATTCCGGGAATATTTACCTCTAATTGGCCCCGTGTAACAGTTCCTACGACTGCCTCATTCCGGGAATATTTACCTCTAATTGGCCCCGTGTAACAGTTCCTACGACTGCCTCATTCCGGGAATATTTACCTCTAATTGGCCCCGTGTAACAGTTCCTACGACTGCCTCATTCCGGGAATATTTACCTCTAATTGGCCCTGTGTAACAGTTCCTACGACTGCCTCATTCCGGGAATATTTACCTCTAGTTGTCAAATTTTGTTTGACAAACCCCAGCCGTTTAACATCCCCAATATTAATTAAATATTGTTCATTTAAAATGCAAGGTTATGAACACAAGTTGAAGAAAGGTTATAGTGGGTTTGGTCGTAAGATATAAACATATTTGTTTTAGTAATATGTGTTAAACTAGCCTACCTTTAGGCTACAGCTTACATTGATAAGAAATGTTTTACTTTATTGATTTTTGGTATTGAACGTTTATGTTGAATTATACGAGTGTTTGTTAACAATTTACATTAATTTTGAAGCGTTGGGAAAGGCCCCGCCTGGAGGCTCAACAGTTAGTAGGACTGCTGTCAGTGGACACGGTCATACCGATGATGACAAAGGGTGAGGACAATTGGACCTGTGTGTCACATTACATCCAGGGTACTCTCCGCGCCAAGAAGCTCGACCTTGACCGGGATGCGGTGTAGGTCATAAAGTATCTGAATGCCAAAAACGGTGAGAGCCCTGAGGGCATAGGTCACATGTTGGCCTGACTTGAAGTAATGTGACAAACAATTCCAGGTCGGTGTCCAACAGAGTAGAGGGAGTTTTTTAGTGAGTAGTCTGTGATAGATTCAGGAGTCTCACACTACGGGCTGGCTACCTGTGTGCGTAAAAGAATTTTCCCTCTTTATTTTCTAGATTAAAAAATTTCCAATTTTTTATTGCTGTGATTTATCAACGTTTTATAGGTTAGGCAGTTTCAACTCTTAGTAGTACATATTTTTACATTATTGGTGTTCTAGTTTGAATTTATCTTATAGAAGAACGCATGGTGACTAAAAGTGTTCTAATACTTTCCAATGGAAAAAAATTTTACGGATTAAAAGTATGATATCTCAATAAAAAAATCTTTGTAAAATAAGATACCATTTTTAGTAAAATATGGTAAAGTTTTTAAAGTTGTCTTAATTAAAACATTAGCAAATAGACTTTACGAATTTGGTCGTTTCTCACATTCTTATTTAATTGGTGTAAGGCTGCATAGGAGTGACTATACACCTATTGGTTTCATGGTTTGTATCAAAATTCATACTGCCAGGTAAATGGTGCTAAATTGACAAAGCAAGTAGAGTCTTATTTCAATTAAACACCCAGATGTCGGGCGGAGGGCCCTTCACAGTTGACGCCCTGACGTTCTTTCAGCTCACACACTCTCTTTGTCCCTAGGTTATAATGTCAAACATTTTATTTCGTCCAAAATATCTTTTTAAAAATAGTTTTTCTAGTTAGTTTTGAATGTTAAAATCGAGTTAGTGCTTTCTTGCCAAAGAACTAACAGCACAGGTTTCTTTGCGATTAAATGTAAAAAGATTGTAATAATAAGTCTTGATTTATGTTCAAGCAAAAGCTATAATTTAAATTTTATAAGAACGATACATTGGTTTAACGAAGGGTTAAATCTAGCTTAAAATTAGGGCTATTGCCGTGATTCACCACCACTATATATTTTGTATGTAAAAATTCACAATTTAAATTATAACCTTGGTTTTAGCTCCAGCTTAACCCAATGCAACCTATAATAACCTAATCCAAAAGAGAATTTTTAATTAATTATAAAATTTCAACCTAAAAATAAAACATATTGGTAGTGAACTAACTGAAAAGGTCCAAAACATTAACAACTAAATATGACTCCGAAGCTTTAACAAGCGAATTATTAGTGTTTTATATGCAGATTTTTCACTGTCTCAGCTGATCCTCTAGAGGAGATGAATGACATACAACAAAGTGCAGGTTCTACTCATATGGAGAGCTTGCACAATGTTTTCAGGCAGGGATCGTTTAACTAATAACAAAACTGTGGCGTTGAACCTTCTACTTTGTAATTCAAAGACGTTAAATTGATGCTAAAATAGTTTGTGAAGGCGACCAAGCTTACTTTGTTCATTTGGTTAATAATTAATAATTCTGTCAATGGAATCAGCAGGTCTCTGTCGGCGAAATACTCACTGGCCAATCACAAGGCGTCTCTTTAATTATGGTTACATTTCATATTGCAATCATACTTGGCTCTCAGACCACCTAATTGGCATTTCAACCAGTTAAAAGACAAATCGTAATATTGTATTTTTATTATGAGTATGATCTTCTAATTACAGGTAAATATGATTTTATAACATTATACATTTTACCTATATAAAGCTTTAATCTACTCAGTTCTCTGGCATGAGATATCAGTTCATGTTTTAGGGCACTAAATGCATAATAACAAACACTAACAAACACTAACAAACACTAGATAGAGAATTCCAATTTACACCGATATATTGATCATAGGCTACGGTCAGATTATGAAGTTTTAAGAGGATGTCTAAATTTAATTCAAATGTACAAGTGTAACACTTTATTATGGATAACAACACATGTCTATTATGTGTAACAAATAATGCACGGATTAGAATGTACAGCTAAAATAATAATAAATACGTATCCTACAGTCTTAAAACTGTTTATTATAGACTGACATATTTATTGTTCATGTATGTTTATTTTTACCATTATTAACAGGCTCAGAGTGCACGGTTATGCCATTTTCAAACAGGACAAAGTAACACAATGATCCGTTTCTAACAAATCACAGTTATTGTTCAGGTTTCGAAAAAATGTAAATATTTATCCAAGCGTTTGCAGAGCACAGTATGAAAGCTGGCATTTGAACAAACAAATAACAGTTGAGGCAGAATAATACGCTCGAACGATCCTTGTAAACATTCACCTTTGCAGTTTGGATCTTTTAAGGATCTTAATTGAAGAACCGTAAGTCTTGACATAAAATCATTTCCTTTTATGAGATAAACTATGTAGAAAGGCTAATATAAGCAAGATCTTACAATATAATTCAGAACCTTTTAATTTAACATTTTTCGCTGGTTTTCGCATCTTTGGACAAGTTATTTCTTCAGTACTAAATAAATAAAATGTACTGTATCAAGAAAAATTTTATCGTAATCATTATAAATGTAATCTGATTTTATACTTACTCTTTTTAGTTCTAGAAGTAGAGGTCTTGTCAGCTCGATGCGAGCTTTCTTGATGCTTTTTATCGCAACTTTGTTTCCCTAAAACCAAATCAATATTATAATTAATAACAAGTCTTAGGAGACAAAAACATCACAACACAAAGAGACTTAAAACAGACAAGAGATAAAACCGTCATCGTACTACAATAAACAAGAAGTACACAAGTATGCATAATTAAAATATAAATGATTTTCAATATCAAATAATATGTAATTGTTACCCGTCTGTTTTATTAGACATTTTTTTTTAACTACATTGTTCCCATGGTAAAAAAAAAAAAAAAAAAAAAACTGTTATTAGACTCGTTTTTTTGCTTCCATGGACTTAAGCTAAGTTTAGAAGTATGAATGAAATATCATTATTTAAATAAAATTCCCACATTACTGGATCGGTATAGAAAACGTTTGAAAGTTACCGAAGTTAAACAACCCATTTATTGAATTTAGAATTTATATTTGATTTTTTTATTACCAATCTCTGGAAGTATTGGAGGAGTAGGCAATTATTCCTCGCAGTTTATTGTAATACTAAACGTTTACAGTATAATTTTTTAATAGATTGATTATTTCGTATATATATCTTATACTGTATGGTTAAATCTACGATATTTAATCAACCACCATCGTACATTTTTTTTTCAGATAAATAAAATACACCTCTCTAGCAACAATGTCATTTTGTTACAAGCCTTTCGTTATCCACACGTTGAACACCTCTCATTTACAAGTGGATCATGACATTAAGGTTTGTAAGTGAATGGTGTTTTCATCCCTCTATAGTGCTAAGGCCAGTTTCTGAAAAAAAGATTGATAGTTGGGGGCTAACAGTCAAGTGGGCGATCGTGCAGGGCACCTGTTGTCCATCACATATAAGGATAATGGAGTATCCATTCAAATATTTACTCATTAGCAAGGAGAATCAAACTACGAATATTTACGCCTACTTCACTTTTTAATTTCCCCCAGGTCCCTAGAAACCTTTTAATCAAACGAGAAAGAATATTTGTACTCCTGCAAAATACGATTACGAGATTATAATTGAAAATAAAATAAAAAGTGAATTAATATATAAAATATGATGCCAAAGGTGAGACGTTGATTGTGCTGTAAATGTCTGTAGCTACCGGCTAAGCCGCATTATTGTGCTTGTAAATGTCTGTAGCTACCGGCTAAGCCGCATTATTGTGCTTGTAAATGTCTGTAGCTACCGGCTAAGCCGCATTATTGTGCTTGTAAATGTCTGTAGCTACCGGCTAAGCCGCATTATTGTGCTGCTTTTACTCTCCGATGTGACGTATTAGAGCTCAAAGCGAGCTTATTACAGGGTTACATTTACTAGTTATCCTTTTTCCTTTCCAATTTTATAGTGAAAATGTTATATTATGTATCTTACGATTTTTGGTTATTATTATTTGGTTGTTGTACGGTTTGTAGCAAATAGGATTACTGTAATAAATATATAAATTTTCATAAAAGTGAAAGTTATGCAATGTTAAAATAAAATGTGCTAGACTATACCTCACATAAATTGCCCTTAACTATTTCGTGAAGTAAATTTTAAGTACAACTGATGCATAACAACACAACCCTTGATTTGATCAACCTTTCAAATCAATATTGTGGATTATAAGTCGCAATCTCGCAAGTAATGGGAACGGTCGTAATCAATGGCTGATATGAAGAGTCCCCTGGCGTTGGTAAATGTCAGAGACTCATCCCTGAACTCTTACCCTACCAGAACCATTTAGTAAGAGCAACGCTGTGGACGAAGCAAATCGAGAAATGACAAGTATGCAAGTACAAGAAATGCCTACTTTTGAGTGGTATTATATAGTAAAACTAAGGAACAAGTTTTACCGATATCATTAAAAAGTGAGAGCTGTGTTAACAATAAACAAAAATCTCCGTAAATGATTATAAATAATATATTTAAAAATTCAAATAAAAAATATCCAAATTCAAAACATCATTATTTTCCTTCTTACATGTATTGTGCAATTCAAATAATAATTGTAATAATTGTACCCAAATGTATTGGGTACAAAAATAGTGTCAAAAATAAGTAGCGTATGTATATATATTTTAAGTACTAATTAATGAATGAACATTTATTTAATGAGTTACTCCATTGTTTAAGGCGCCTTTCCTATTAAATATTGTTTTATTATTTGGCCTTAAATTATTTATAAATTGATTACTCCTTTATAGAGGCAGGCAATTTTCTTCATTTAATGTGTTTCTTTTTGGAGAATTCCAGCTTATAGGTTGAAGTTACAATATCCTTTGTATGTGTTGTATTGTAACGATCTGGCACAACAGGATAATATTTTATGCTGATTTTTTTAGCTATACATGCTATTTCAAACGTATTTGCAATTTGCAAAAACTGTTAAAATATTTAGATTTTGGAAGTGAGATTTAACAGATTCATCTTTTTAAGGTGTAACATTATTCTAATGGCTTTTTCTTGGATGATTAGAATTCCCCATATAGTCCCCATACAGTCTAATGCTATAGTTTATGTGTGAATCAATATGGGCAAAATACATTTTTTTTTTGTGCATCTAAATTGCATAAATAAGACATTCCTTTCAATGCATACGCTTCAGAATTAATCTTTAAATAATCTTTTTACGTGAATATTCCAACTTAGATCTACATAAAAACCTAAAGGTTTGGCCTCAGAAAGTTGTTCTATTGATTCTGAATCAATGATAAAATTTGGTTGAAGTTTCTGTTTACTTTCTTCAGTTGAAAAGGACATATACAGTTTGTTTTTGTTGTATTATGATTCAAATTATTATTTTGTTGGAAATTGTTGTATATTATACAACTCTACAAAGGCCGAAATTTCCAACTCATCTTTAGCTTTCCCCGCCCTGCCACTGTTAAATTTGAATCATCTGCGTATGAACAAATTTTACTCTTTTGAAGATTAAGAATACTTTTAGGCATTTCTTTTATATATCATATAAACAAAATTGGTCCCAAAATTTAACCCTGAGGCACCCCTACTTAGTTCTAAGTTTATGAGAATTAAATGTAGATAAATGATTGTTTTTGTTTGATTTTATTTCAACAAATTGCATCCAAAGTTGTTACATAGCAGTTTATAGCTACAGTCTAGGAAACAGATTTTATAGCGAATTTCTCATCTATTCACATTATTACTTATCATGATTTATCCAATCCGAGATTTTTTGGTCTTAGTTATGCCACTCTTTATATGACACTGGAAACTGCAACTTTGTTCAGGCACGCTTTGTTTCTTAAAATATGGTTGTAGATATCACAGACAGAACAAATGTAAATTTATACATCCATCTATCTATGTATTTATCTAGCTATGTTCTTAAGCTTTGTTGGAAGTACCTAATAATAATAAAAATAATGTACATCTATATCTATATCTATAATACATCAAGCTGTTTTTTGTAAACACTCCTCTCTTATCTGTTGACCAATTTCAACGTTTTAGGTGTCAACAAATTCGTCTCAAATTAATTTGTAATTTTGAAATAAGGTTTTAGAATTTTAAAATTCTTACCCTTAAGGTCGCGAGGTGCTCTCAAAATTAGATATCTTCCCCATAACAACTACGTAAAAAAATAAAAAAGCCTTTGTTTATAAAAGAAACTCGGCAGCTTTTTGGGAGTAAATATTGATGTTTGTAATATTCAGGAGGTCAATCTAAAATAAAACCAGTAGGATAATTATAGCACTAGGCTAATTATAATTATATTAGGATAATTATGTTTTGCACAATGTATGTAGTTTTTGTTACTCACTCTACATCAATTGAGAAAAATAAAACAATTGGATTGTATACTTCTTGCTATCATCACGGTAAGGCCTCGTTTGCCAGTTCCACAAACAATCGATTTTATGGATATATAGATTTTAAACAATATGCATAGACATTAGGATTTACGTATAGAGTCAGACCAATAATGATTTAATCTATTAAATGAACAAATTTAGATTATATTAATTTACGTTCCATGATTTATAAGTGCTAGAAAACCAGGAAAGTCAGGAATATGTTGAAGAGATAAAATGTCAGCAGAGTAAGGAAACATCTCCTCCAAGTAAACATATTAGCAAAGCTCTGAGTATTACATACTTAGTGATGTACTCCAGACACCAACCTCCTGTACATCCAGATCCATTCCACCGAGTCGCTAATAATCTGCCGTTTTCATTACTGTCTTCCCTAGAACTCCTAAGAATACTGGCTGTAGCTTTTTCTGACAGTCCTGGTCTTGTTTCGATGTATAGCAGTTACTTCTACATTTTTCAATTTTCTAAAATATGATTATTATAGTCCTTTTTGTAGGAAACAACATTTGGATGTAAATACCAGTGATGACTAGCAGTCATTTCCCTTTATGGAATGTGATGTGATGTTTTGTATGGAATTGTGGAAAAATGTAACTTCATAGCTTACCCTTAGACTTTGAAATATTATGACGAAAACCAATTGAGGAAAAAGACAAGGCCAATGATCTAGGTTAATAGTATAAAAACGCATCTTTGATTTTGTCAAATTAAGAGTTTTGGTGAACTCTTGTGTAAGACGACCAGATAAAAAACAATTTTGTTTAGATAAATATGCCGTTGCTTTATAACGTTGGAGATTGAAACTTAATTAAAAAATATATCTACATCCTGACACACGTTGCACAAGATGAAAGGATTTCATTTTAACCTTTCCGCTTCGTGGTTGTAGCATGTCAATAAAAGACTCTGAGTCTTAATTTTGTGAATGGCATAATGTATTCTTTAGCGTATTGTGTATAGTGTTGTACTGTGATGTAGTGATGGAAAGACGTACTTTGTAAATTGCACCATCATGGATAACGTGTTAGTGTAACAAACTAATAATAAGTATAACTTAAAACTACATCATAAGGTGATAATACATTTTATTTTTAAGAGTTGTCATTTAAGTAAACTGATAAACTTTAAAAATATGTTTGAATGGAGTTAGTAAAATTTTAAAATAATCATATCTAACGTAAATAATTATTTTGTTTCAATTTCATCCACACTAAAATAAATCTTTATATGATTCAAGTTAATTCAATATAATAAAAGACATTCATTGCAAACGTCTGAATTCACTGGAACAATCACTGGATTATCTTTTGATTCACTGGAATAATCTAAATCAGAGAAATATCGCATTAGTGTATTATTATATTGTAAGCATTTTCATTTTCCCTCGCCGATCGCAGGGTATACACGTGTAGTGAGAATTGTTTAACAAGCAAGTTACTCCCTCCCCCGTCTGCCAATTCGGTTTGTTTCTCTCAGTTTTCCCGAGAAAAAAATCAGCGTCAATCGGTTATTAGCTAATATTAAAAGAAGGTAAATAAATATTCGCTTAGTCAAATCCTTTTATTCAAAAGTAATTTCTAATGGATCAATAATATAGAATTGAATATCTATTATTAATCCTAGCAGGTGAAAAAAAATAAAGACATAAAAATATTATACTCCGAAAGTCCCTCTTATTGTGATCATTTTAGAGCTAACAATATTTGTCTTTGCTATCATTAGGGGTGGTTACAAATGTTCCATATTATAAGAGGGAAAATTAAGTGATTTACTGTTTGATACTAATATAGTTAGATAAATCGAATATATTTTATGGGGTTTATTGATTTATGCTCTCCCCTACCCCATAACGTTTAGTAATTGGGACATACAAAAAACAGTACCAATGTTTGGTCATAAATGTAACAAAAACCCTTACCAATTATTTAAGACATATTACAAGTACATAGGTGCAAGTACCACTAAACCGTCTAGCATTAAAAAGCTAAATTATATATAATAATTACCTGTATACTTTATTATTTCACGAAACATAATGTTAAAAGCTCCTGACTGACAAATAATGAACATTTCCGTAAATAAAAGGAATACATGATTGAATACCAAGTTATTAAAGTATACATTATGTAATTTTTAATTAAATCGTTTGACCTAGCCACTTGGTCCTCGCTGCAGACAGTTTCATTAAGATATGCTTTGACTGTGATTGGTTGGCTCGACGTGACTCATTATATATTAACAGGAGGTAAACCGTTATATTAAAGATCAACGCCAAGTTTGGCTGATCAAAGGTCCTTGTTCAGGTTACCCTCTCTTGACAAGCCTGTCTTTGACGCGCGTCTAAAATTAGGCAGTGACTTATCAAAATTACTGTTCAAGGAGTAATCGTCTACTGTGTTGAATGTTGTTTTCGGTTAAGTTGTGATTTTGAGTAGATTAATTTATCACTAGGGGACCCGCGTGGCTAAATGATCAGCATAGTAAAGGACACAACGTTGAGGAAAACTTTCTGATTGAATTCAAGTTAATTGCAGTAAGATTACTAGAGTTGTCTGTAAACTTGATAGAAATTGAGCTTAAATATAATTATGTAGTGAAGGTTCACGTTCATTTCTGTTCTCTATGTTACTGATTACTTCTGTTGATTACATGTCTTTAATATATTGCAACAAAGATTTTACAGTATGACGAACTGAAGACTCATGTTGTTTTACCGATAATCTGTGTGAAGCAAATTGAAGTTTGCTATTTTTTTTTTAAGCAGTAGCTCTCTTCGATTTTAGGCCCCCCCCTAAAAAAACCCTTTTCTCCGCATGGGAAAAGTAAATGATAGGCCATCGGATCTAATCGTGAACAAAGGTTGCTATCAACCATTTCAGGATTTCCATTTTTTATATATACCACAAACTCTAGGTTACCAACTGGGAACCCATAATTTGCTTAGAATATAATAACAGCAATAGCATTAGAAGTTGGTCAATTGTAACGTATTTTATCTTGTTGTATGTCAGAGTGTATACCCAGCATCCTCACATTATCACGTTGTTTAAGTCGATTTTCTCTTAAACCTTTCCAATGTTTAGAAAGCTTGAAAGTATGGATATATTTGTTAAATGTTAGACTCTTGCATTATATTTGGATAACAATTAAGAGGTGTTTCCCCAATTAACTAAGAGGTGTTTCCCCAATTAACCTGATTTTATTGTTTCTTAGTATTATATAAATTGTAATTTTAGCTTATAGCTTTATTTACTAGGTTAGGAATTTGACACTATTCAATGTACAATGTACAATTATTGAATAAAGATATTGAAATGAAATGAAATGAAAAATGAAATTTTCATTTTCTCTTATTGAAGAGCGTATATGACTAGCCTCTTCTGAATCATAAAATAAACTTGATCGCAGTGACTGTTAGGTGCTATTTAAATTCTGTGATATTTTTACCTTAGAATACGTACACATAAGGTCCTTCTTTTGTGTCTGGTCAAATATTGCCACTTACACTTGCCAATAGCAAATGAGTTGTTGTAGCCTCTTGTTTTTGACTTGAAATGTCTTTTCTGTTTGTTAATTCCGGTCATTAAGAATAATGAACAATTAAATAATAGTTAATAAATATTATGTTTTTTAAAAATTGCGTTTTTAAAATTGTGTAAAAAAATGTCCCTGTCCAAACTAAATTCATTGTTAAACTTTTCGGCATACTTTAGTACAATTAACAGTCTTTTTAACATTAAAAAAAACTGGACACTATGAAATGTTAGACAGTATAAACAATATTAAATAAAGTGTAAAATGGCAGGAGCGTTTTAATAATCTAAAATACAGTAGCTGTATCATCTAGTGAGAATAAAAATTACTTTATACTTAAAATTGAAAACTCTTACGAATAGCAAACATTTAAAAACATTCATTTGTTTAATTTATAATCAATTTTGTAGAACTTAAAATACATGTGTTATTTATGGAGTTAAAAAATATTCATTCGATCCTCAGTGAGAATAATGTATATTTACAATCGTATTATAAAAATTGTTATACTATAATGCAGGTTTTTATTAGAGTTGTCGTTTTATTTTAAGAACCCTTTATAACATACTATAGTTTCGTCCATTATTGAGGTATCGGATACGTCCTTAGGGTTTTATGAAACCTAACAGAAATTAAAAATTTAAAGCTTACATATTTTGCAGACGCAATATAAAGTCAAAAAATACAATCTTAAATATCGTTATACAACTGTAAAAAACAGGATACACTGCCAACGTGAATTTCCTTAAACCATTCCATCGATCAAAGTGCAATCACTTACATTCTATAAGGCAGTCGGCATAGACACCTGTTACCCCACGTCACATACACTCACTGCTTTCTACAAGAACATTTACTGTTACCACTAAGATGTGATGAGTGGATCACCTACCTTGTAGTATGCAGACGGCACAGACACCTGTTACCCCACGTCACATACACTCACTGCTTTCTACAAGAACATTTACTGTTACCACTAAGATGTGATGAGTGGATCACCCACCTTGTAGTATGCAGTGGGCACAGACACCTGTTACCCCATGTCACACACGCTCACTGCTTTCTACAAGAACATTTACTGTTACCACTAAGATGTGATGAGTGGATCACCCACCTTGTAGTAGGCAGTGGGCACAGACACCTGTTACCCCATGTCACACACGCTCACTGCTTTCTACAAGAACATTACTGTTACCACTAAGATGTGATGAGTGGATCACCCACCTTGTAGTAGGCAGTGGGCACAGACACCTGTTACCCCATGTCACACACGCTCACTGCTTTCTACAAGAACATTTACTGTTACCACTAAGATGTGATGAGTGGATCACCCACCTTGTAGTAGGCAGTGGGCACAGACACCTGTTACCCCATGTCACACACGCTCACTGCTTTCTACAAGAACATTTACTGTTACCACTAAGATGTGATGAGTGGATCACCTACCTTGTAGTATGCAGACGGCACAGACACCTGTTACCCCACGTCACATACACTCACTGCTTTCTACAAGAACATTTACTGTTACCACTAAGATGTGATGAGTGGATCACCCACCTTGTAGTAGGCAGTGGGCACAGACACCTGTTACCCCATGTCACACACGCTCACTGCTTTCTACAAGAACATTACTGTTACCACTAAGATGTGATGAGTGGATCACCTACCTTGTAGTATGCAGTGGGCACAGACACCTGTTACCCCATGTCACACACGCTCACTGCTTTCTACAAGAACATTGCTGTTACCACTAAGATGTTATGAGTGGATCACCTACCTTGTAGTATGCAGTCGGCACAGACACCTGTTACCCCATGTCACACACGCTCACTGCTTTCTACAAGAACATTACTGTAACACTAAGATGTGATGAGTGGATCACCTACCTTGTAGAAAGCAGTCGGCACAAACACCTGTCGCCCCATGTCACATACGCTCATTGCATCCTCCGAGAATGCTGTCTGAAACAATATAAAAACAGGTTAATTTTTAGTAGCTTAGTATATACGGTCAGTAAGGGAAAATATGTTGTTGAAAATTATCATGATTAAAACAAACATAATATTATGTTTTAGAAATTTAAGAGAGATTGAATCCATTATGATCAACACCTTGAAAGCGTATTTAAGGTGAATTTCCCAATGTGAACCCTCTTTGTCCTTTATAATGCTCTCTGGAGAGGTTTAATCTCATTACTCCAGCCCGGGCGATTACACAGCTTGTGTTATTGAGTACCCTGAGTAATACTGGCATGCAATCGTCGAATATTGATACCCTTACAAGAATATTTGAGACACAATAACTGACACTATTAAATGGTACATTAAAATTTAGCCTAATAACTAAGCAAACATATATTGTATCAAAAAATAGTACCTACAGAATTTAATTAAGCCTTAGGTATACTGTAATTTTTATGTACAGTATAACGACCCATGCATCATTTTCATCACAAAACACTGAACTCTGTGAATCTTTCGTAAACGCTCGTTAGGCTACGATGGTTTAAGTACTTAGCTGCTAACAAACAGCACAAGTCATTGCTTGATAATATTATAGAATGAGATGGCTAAAAACCCCTAGATATGCCACAAAAAGCACAATTAATCACCCGTCAATCACTAATTACTACAAAAAACACTGACTAATATATTAAGAACCATTTCTTCTGCACAATAACCTATCTTTTATAAATTAAACCTACCTGGATATTTATCTTGCTTTAAGGCCCTCAGAATTAAATTTTTGTTATAGGTTTTAAGAAGACGGCCATTCTCCTGATAACGTTCAGAAAATAATATCAGGAAGAAACCTAAAGTTTTAATTGCTAAGAGGTGCAGACTACTCATGTTTGATGTTTTCAAGGTGCCAAAGGAAGGAAATTGTGAAAACTTCCAAGTTAAGAGATCTTAGATTTAGGGAATATGCCAGACGTGGACAAATAAGGGGTCCGAGGCCAAGACTGAAGCCCACAAGAACACTGATGTTAATGGGGTTTACAGTGAAAAATAAATAAATAATACAGAATTTGTGCTGTGCACTCCTCATCTCACGCTTCAAAGATAATTAGTAGGGAACAAATGATGTAGCAATATTTTCAGATTTTTAGGTTATTTTTATGTTTAGTTTCATGGGGAATCAGTACTAGTTTTATTGACTGACGTGTTGGTAACGATATCGTTAACAAAGGCACAATTCTAAAAGATGCCGATAGTGGATGGATTGGTCCAAAACTACAAGTAGAAAACGAACATATGGCGATCCCAGTTGAGACTCCCCTTAACGTAAAAGCGTCATGCTAGTATTGCTAATAAATTGTTTTCTTTAAGGAAACTGACGTACCGACCGTTTAGTTTTACACCAGTCTTATTAAATATTGATCCTTCAAAATAATTATTCATCTTTATTCCAACAAGAAGAAATTAAATAAAAACCCGAAAGTCCTTTAGTGACATAGTTACTAGTACATATTTTCTGAAACCATTCACTTATCTTAATACTTAGTTACTGATCTTACACATTTATACAATCCCATGCCATATTGTGTGATATTGTCACAAACCAGCACTATATTAGTGAGCAGTGTAATCAGTTTGATCGTGTAAGTGATGACAGTGTTTGACAAGACATCAAGGGGGCTTTATAACGTGTTAACCCTCACATTGGCGATGTGTATTAACTCTGGTAAGCCCTATCGATGGTATTAGCTCGTCCTTCTAAACTAATTTGCTCAGATTATAGTATCAAACAATCATTAGGCTTATAACGTAGGATAGATTTCACCATTACATTCTGTCTTAAGGTAAAGACAAAGTCCCTATCTTGCCCTTGTTAAAATAGGAATATTTAGGTACACATAACCTTTCAATATTAACCAATCATCTTGGATCTTTACCATTGACTGCTTTGGAACTTTACTGTACACTACTCTAAAAAGCTTACTCTAAAAATAAGAAGCAATGGATTTTTTATATAAGTGTTTCGCATGGATTTAAAATAAAATAGTTAATAGATTACTTTATCAAATTAAAAGTATTTCATTGCCACCATAGAAGCTGGCTCATATTACCAACTAATAAAACTCAGAAAATTACCTTGAAATCGGTAAACAACTGTTGGAGAAAATTTTCCCTCTTTTAAAATGGGATAAGAAGCCAAGGGCAGAGTCCAACATCAATGATACAGATTTACTCTACTTTTATGTACGTGAAAAGTCTTGCTCTTTATAAGAGATACAATTTATATTATAAATCTTGTACTTATAAATGATAGTAGTATTTTTTTTACTTTTTTTCTCTTGTTTTACCGCCTAATAACATAAGAATTTTGAATATAGAGTTGTTTTTCACAATTTTATTCCTTAACAACGCTTTGATTGGACATTTATTTTTTAAATACTATACACGATGGTCACAAAACATGTAGCTGTTGTAGCATACGTGTTATTAATTTTATGGAGAAAAATTCATCTAATAACACGTGAAACATACTTTTACACTTAAATTGTTTTAACAAGATGGAACATACGTTACAGGAAAAGTATAAAACCAACATTCTATTAAATGACTGAAATGAACCAGGCAAAGTATGAAATATAGCTCGTTATATACTTTGCCTAAGCATTTATAGAATGTCTGTTGGTACCGAAGGCAAAGTAGCCTTAAAAATACGCTGTTGTTGGACTTTTTTAAGACTTTTGTACCATTGTTTGGCATAAATATATCTAATCTAAAATAAGCCTAGCCTAATCTAACCTAACCATATGCTCAATATTCCATTATTGTAGAGGATTTTCTTTTAATTTTTATAATTTTTTTGGCATAAGTCAATCTAAGCTAAAACTATCCAAAATGAAACAACCAAACCTAACCATACACAAAATAAATCAATCCACAAATAAAATAAATGTGTATTTTTAACAAACAACTTTATTTTACACATTGCCTGACACACCTACAGGCATCCTATAGCATGCCTAGGCATTATACACAATGCCTAGTCAAAGTGTATAAAATCATATAATTATTATTCTATTTCATACTTTGCCTAATTGTTTTAGGTATTGTTTAGAATAGCTAGTCATTACATATATTGCCTTTATAATATAATTTGCCTGTAACATATTTTAATAAAAGATAACAATGTTGATCAATTTCGTTGACATGATCATTCACCAATTGGGTCTGATGATGATTGGAGTGTCCAATCGAAATCGAGCACCATTTCCATATTTTATGTATAGCACCGGGGGACCAAGCCATGGCTCGGTATGGAAACTCGCGGTATCTTTATAGCTAATTTCGGCTTTTATTATTTAAGTTTAAGTAAAATTTCAATTTATTATGATGGAAAATTTTACTTTGCAATCTAACACATTAATTTATTTTAATCTTGCACATTTTTTGCAGTGTAAATTAATAAAACAAATGTTAAAAATTAAAGAAGTATCTTTGATATTAGTTTCTGTAGTAGGAATTAATAAACAATCACAGGTTAATACGGTAGTATTTAGCTAAAATAGCATTTTATACAGCATAGTTCAGCGTGTGTAAGGGGTGTTTTTTGTTTCTTGGCACTAAATTAAACCTTTCTTTAAGTATAAGTAAATCTTGAACAGGAGCATACTCTCCAAAATACTATTATATGATGGATTAGCCGAAGACAGATTATTCCGATTCAAGCCAATATTGCTTACTACTAAAATTATTGTAATGCAATTAACTTTAATACTAATTCAACTGAATACAAATTATGTAAACAATAAAAGAGTGAATAACAATTTTAAAATATACACTTAAATAATAGTGAAACATTGAGTTGACGCCAGTGCACTGAATCGTCACCAATACGAAACCACAGACAATATAATACTTTAATAGTTTCTGTTGTCTGTGACCAAACACTTACTCTTTTTCCCTGTGTCGAGTAATCTCCCGTGCAATCTTTGCTAAATATTTACATTTGATGTTTTTTCCCCTTTGTACTAGATTTTTTTATTTGTATTTGTTGCTAGTATACTGTTGATGGCTTTTTGTAAACACGTGTTACAAGTATTTTGTTTACCTTTTCCTTGCTATTTTGTTCAACCAGCATAGTTCCTAAGCAGCCCATAAGACAATGTTATCTTCAAATTTTCAAATGAGTTGTATAGGGAAATACGAACTTTCCTGAGGTAGTAGCTGTTACTAATCACGACTTTAGGGCTATAAGTCCCTAATTCCAAAGTTTAGTAAAAATCCTTCCCCTCGATTTCGAGATATATATTACAGACAGACAAACAGACTAAGCTCGTATTATAGTATAGGATTTACCGTCTTGTTAAAACAGTATAAGTGTAAATAATATATAATTCACGTGTTATTAGACACATTTTTTATTTGATAACTCTAATCCTACATACTAACCTTATTAGACTTTCCTTCACACAGTATTCATACATATATACAATAGCATTCATATTGAGACAGAAAAAGTCGACGTACCTTTCCCTTATCTTAATCAGGCGGCCAAGGGAATGAATAATGTACTTTGGACAGAGCGTTTTCCCTCTGAATTTAAAATAGAGGTAATACTTTGAACCATTTCATCTGCAATACTACACAAATTTCCTTTTTATGAAAATTGTTTTTAGAAATTAGAAAATAACATTAAAATACTGCAGTCTTTTTTAAATATTGTTACCATATTGTTAAGTTAGAGAACTTGAATCAGGAACAGGAGGAATCAAATCACACTGTCTAAAGTCTGACACGAAATAATTTAAGTTTTTTTTACCCAGCCAGTACTTATAATACTACTACTGGTTTACCTTCTTCCATCGATATATATGAGGTTCTAGCTCTTTTTGCTATTTTCTTTTCTACTCTTCGAACAGAGAAGTTTGGATAGTAAAATAACTTCATTACCTATTAATTTATTATGAATTTAAAAAATGGGGATTATCATCGGTGATGAAAGTATAATACCTAATAAATGGTATACTTGTCCTCGGATTTTTAATGTGGCCGTGAATTTGCTTACAAAAATTTATTATGAACCAAACAAAGTTTTATGTAAAGCAAGGACAAGTAGTATGTATTATCAGGTTATTAGATTTATGTGATTCGTTTTGAAATTTTACTCAATTGTAAAATTTCTCATACATATATTCGGTATGTGGTAAAAAATAACTTACATTGCATGCCTAATTCATTGATACTTAAGGCCTTAAGAGCGCAACACTTTGATGAAGCCTAGATTTCATTATGGCTCATTTACCTATTTTAAATAGTAGGTATACCAAATTCCATCTTTATAGCTAATCGAGATATAAGGAAAAATTGAAAATTATTTGTATACATACTAGAAGGTAGTTTTTACTAACAATTGAAATTTACTCTAGTAAAAGTGTGTTGCACTTCAGTTTGGAACAAAAACTACGAATTTGTCTACTAAATTATGATATATACAACATTTTCAACAAGAATACGTATTGGTATAATACCTACACACTGACTGCTGCGTCGCACCAGGCTGTAAACACTACCACGTAGTTTGCCTGGGGGGACCCTCACTATGTCTCGGTAGTTGACACGCCACGTCATAGAGGCTATCTCAGCCTCCAGCTTGTAGTGTCTGTAACACATGTGATATAGTTAGCTACGTCACACAAGGCTGTACACACTACCACGTAGTTTGCCTGGGGGGACCCTCACTATGTCTCGGTAGTTGACACGCCACGTCATAGAGGCTATCTCAGCCTCCAGCTTGTAGTGTCTGTAACACATGTGATATAGTTAGCTACGTCACACAAGGCTGTACACACTACCACGTAGTTTGCCTGGGGGGACCCTCACTATGTCTCGGTAGTTGACACGCCACGTCATAGAGGCTATCTCAGCCTCTAGCTTGTAGTGTCTGTAACACATGTGATATAGTTAGCTACGTCACACAAGGCTGTACACACTACCACGTAGTTTGCCTGGGGGGACCCTCACTATGTCTTGGTAGTTGACACGCCACGTCATACAGGCTGTCTCAGCCTCCAGCTTGTAGTGTCTGTAACACATGTGATATAGTTAGCTACGTCACACAAGGCTGTAAGCACTACCACGTAGTTTGCCTGGGGGGACCCTCACTATGTCTCGGTAGTTGACACGCCACGTCATAGAGGCTATCTCAGCCTCCAGCTTGTAGTGTCTGTAACACATGTGATAGAGTTAGCTACGTCACACAAGGCTGTACACACTACCACGTAGTTTGCCTGGGGGGACCCTCACTATGTCTCGGTAGTTGACACGCCACGTCATAGAAGCTATCTCAGCCTCCAGCTTGTAGTGTCTGTAACACATGTGACAGAGTTAGCTACGTCACACAAGGCTGTACACACTACCACGTAGTTTGCCTGGGGGGACCCTCACTATGTCTCGGTAGTTGACACGCCACGTCATAGAGGCTATCTCAGCCTCCAGCTTGTAGTGTCTGTAACACATGTGATAGAGTTAGCTACGTCACACAAGGCTGTACACACTACCACGTAGTTTGCCTGGGGGGACCCTCACTATGTCTCGGTAGTTGACACGCCACGTCATAGAGGCTATCTCAGCCTCCAGCTTGTAGTGTCTGTAACACATGTGATAGAGTTAGCTACGTCACACAAGGCTGTACACACTACCACGTAGTTTGCCTGGGGGGACCCTCACTATGTCTCGGTAGTTGACACGCCACGTCATAGAAGCTATCTCAGCCTCTAGCTTGTAGTGTCTGTAACACATGTGATAGAGTTAGCTACGTCACACAAGGCTGTACACACTACCACGTAGTTTGCCTGGGGGGACCCTCACTATGTCTCGGTAGTTGACACGCCACGTCATACAGGCTGTCTCAGCCTCCAGCTTGTAGTGTCTGTAACACATGTGATATAGTTAGCTACGTCACACAAGGCTGTACACACTACCACGTAGTTTGCCTGGGGGGACCCTCACTATGTCTCGGTAGTTGACACGCCACGTCATAGAGGCTATCTCAGCCTCCAGCTTGTAGTGTCTGTAACACATGTGATAGAGTTAGCTACGTCACACAAGGCTGTACACACTACCACGTAGTTTGCCTGGGGGGACCCTCACTATGTCTCGGTAGTTGACACGCCACGTCATAGAAGCTATCTCAGCCTCCAGCTTGTAGTGTCTGTAACACATGTGACAGAGTTAGCTACGTCACACAAGGCTGTACACACTACCACGTAGTTTGCCTGGGGGGACCCTCACTATGTCTCGGTAGTTGACACGCCACGTCATAGAGGCTATCTCAGCCTCCAGCTTGTAGTGTCTGTAACACATGTGACAGAGTTAGCTACGTCACACAAGGCTGTACACACTACCACGTAGTTTGCCTGGGGGGACCCTCACTATGTCTCGGTAGTTGACACGCCACGTCATAGAGGCTATCTCAGCCTCCAGCTTGTAGTGTCTGTAACACATGTGACAGAGTTAGCTACGTCACACAAGGCTGTACACACTACCACGTAGTTTGCCTGGGGGGACCCTCACTATGTCTCGGTAGTTGACACGCCACGTCATAGAGGCTATCTCAGCCTCCAGCTTGTAGTGTCTGTAACACATGTGATAGAGTTAGCTACGTCACACAAGGCTGTACACACTACCACGTAGTTTGCCTGGGGGGACCCTCACTATGTCTCGGTAGTTGACACGCCACGTCATAGAGGCTATCTCAGCCTCCAGCTTGTAGTGTCTGTAACACATGTGACAGAGTTAGCTACGTCACACAAGGCTGTACACACTACCACGTAGTTTGCCTGGGGGGACCCTCACTATGTCTCGGTAGTTGACACGCCACGTCATAGAGGCTATCTCAGCCTCCAGCTTGTAGTGTCTGTAACACATGTGACAGAGTTAGCTACGTCACACAAGGCTGTACACACTACCACGTAGTTTGCCTGGGGGGACCCTCACTATGTCTCGGTAGTTGACACGCCACGTCATAGAGGCTATCTCAGCCTCCAGCTTGTAGTGTCTGTAACACATGTGACAGAGTTAGCTACGTCACACAAGGCTGTACACACTACCACGTAGTTTGCCTGGGGGGACCCTCACTATGTCTCGGTAGTTGACACGCCACGTCATAGAGGCTATCTCAGCCTCCAGCTTGTAGTGTCTGTAACACATGTGATAGAGTTAGCTACGTCACACAAGGCTGTACACACTACCACGTAGTTTGCCTGGGGGGACCCTCACTATGTCTCGGTAGTTGACACGCCACGTCATAGAGGCTATCTCAGCCTCCAGCTTGTAGTGTCTGTAACACATGTGATAGAGTTAGCTACGTCACACAAGGCTGTAAGCACTACCACGTAGTTTGCCTGGGGGGACCCTCACTATGTCTCGGTAGTTGACACGCCACGTCATAGAGGCTATCTCAGCCTCCAGCTTGTAGTGTCTGTAACACATGTGATATAGTTAGCTATGTCACACAAGGCTGTACACACTACCACGTAGTTTGCCTGGGGGGACCCTCACTATGTCTCGGTAGTTGACACGCCACGTCATAGAGGCTATCTCAGCCTCCAGCTTGTAGTGTCTGTAACACATGTGATATAGTTAGCTATGTCACACAAGGCTGTACACACTACCACGTAGTTTGCCTGGGGGGACCCTCACTATGTCTCGGTAGTTGACACGCCACGTCATAGAGGCTATCTCAGCCTCCAGCTTGTAGTGTCTGTAACACATGTGATATAGTTAGCTATGTCACACAAGGCTGTACACACTACCACGCAGTTTGCCTGGGGGGACCCTCACTATGTCTCGGTAGTTGACACGCCACGTCATAGAGGCTATCTCAGCCTCCAGCTTGTAGTGTCTGTAACACATGTGATATAGTTAGCTATGTCACACAAGGCTGTACACACTACCACGTAGTTTGCCTGGGGGGACCCTCACTATGTCTCGGTAGTTGACACGCGACGTCATAGAGGCTATCTCAGCCTTCAGCTTGTAGTGTCTGTAACACATGTGATATAGTTAGCTATGTCACACAAGGCTGTACACACTACCACGTAGTTTGCCTGGGGGGACCCTCACTATGTCTCGGTAGTTGACACGCGACGTCATAGAGGCTATCTCAGCCTCCAGCTTGTAGTGTCTGTAACACATGTGATATAGTTAGCTATGTCACACAAGGCTGTACACACTACCACGTAGTTTGCCTGGGGGGACCCTCACTATGTCTCGGTAGTTGACACGCGACGTCATAGAGGCTATCTCAGCCTCCAGCTTGTAGTGTCTGTAACACATGTGATATAGTTAGCTACGTCACACAAGGCTGTACACACTACTACGTAGTTTGCCTGGGGGGACCCTCACTATGTCTCGGTAGTTGACACGCGACGTCATAGAGGCTATCTCAGCCACCAGCTTGTAGTGTCTGTAACACATGTGATATAGTTAGCTACGTCACACAAGGCTGTACACACTACCACGTAGTTTGCCTGGGGGGACCCTCACTATGTCTCGGTAGTTGACACGCGACGTCATAGAGGCTATCTCAGCCTCCAGCTTGTAGTGTCTGTAACACATGTGATATAGTTAGCTACGTCACACAAGGCTGTACACACTACCACGTAGTTTGCCTGGGGGGACCCTCACTATGTCTCGGTAGTTGACACGCCACGTCATAGAGGCTATCTCAGCCTCCAGCTTGTAGTGTCTGTAACACATGTGATATAGTTAGCTACGTCACACAAGGCTGTACACACTACCACGTAGTTTGCCTGGGGGGACCCTCACTATGTCTCGGTAGTTGACACGCGACGTCATAGAGGCTATCTCAGCCTCCAGCTTGTAGTGTCTGTAACACATGTGATATAGTTAGCTACGTCACACAAGGCTGTACACACTACCACGTAGTTTGCCTGGGGGGACCCTCACTATGTCTTGGTAGTTGACACGCCACGTCATAGAGGCTATCTCAGCCTCCAGCTTGTAGTGTCTGTAACACATGTGATATAGTTAGCTACGTCACACAAGGCTGTACACACTACCACGTAGTTTGCCTGGGGGGACCCTCACTATGTCTTGGTAGTTGACACGCCACGTCATAGAGGCTATCTCAGCCTCCAGCTTGTAGTGTCTGTAACACATGTGATATAGTTAGCTACGTCACACAAGGCTGTACACACTACCACGTAGTTTGCCTGGGGGGACCCTCACTCACTATGTCTCGGTAGTTGACACGCGACGTCATAGAGGCTATCTCAGCCTCCAGCTTGTAGTGTCTGTAACACATGTGATATAGTTAGCTACGTCACACAAGGCTGTACACACTACCACGTAGTTTGCCTGGGGGGACCCTCACTATGTCTTGGTAGTTGACACGCCACGTCATAGAGGCTATCTCAGCCACCAGCTTGTAGTTTCCACAATATTTGTTGTATGAATGTCCGTTGGTTGTAAAATAAAAATAAATAAACATGTGATAGAGTTTGTAACCTCGTAGTTTCTACACTAATGCACAATACCGTGAGGAAGGTGAGTGCTGTGTGCACTGTGTAACAATTGACAAGGAGGTTACACCTTTTCTCCTAATAGTTTGCACAACACGAAAACGTAAAATGGTTTATTTACGGATTGATATGGCGGATGCTAATGTGTATAAAGTAGTAAGTAATGTGTATAAAGTAGTAGTTACAATATAAAGTGTACAATACAAATATCCTGAAGAAAGTCTCTCGTGTCCCAGAGTTAACGCGCTAGTACAGTCTAGTAAAGTTTGAGCACTGAATAATCACTTACAGGAAGCGATGCAGTAGTAATCACCCGTAAAATTAATTTAGCATCAATGTATTTTGCCGTAAGAAATTGTAGAAAGCTGCTAAAAAATATATTTTTATTACTCTCTTAAATCATTTTTCTTCACATTGTATAATAAAATCACTGCTGACCTTGCTGATTCGTTAGTACCTGAAATTTTTGTATAATCGGAGACGTTTGTTATGAATCCAAACAATTTAGCTCATTGATAAACCCTAATTCAAATTCATTTATAACTCAGTAAACAAATATTTTCAGATTATTTTATGGATGGTTTAACATATGGCTAGAGGAAACCACAAGGGAATTGTGGTCTATACCTCATTTACATTGCACATGCCTCATCATAGGTCAACGGAGCCTTTGATGTCACTGTCTGCAATCTATGGAACTGACTGTTATCCCTTTTGTAGTATATTTTGTGATAGATGTTCTAAGTCTATGGTGCAATTCTCCCAGAAATCTGTTTTGAACCACTAGTCCTGGATATGTTCGTTATTAGTTCACAAATCTATGGTTAACCCCACTGAATAATAAGTAGAGTTAATGTCAGTATCTATTTTTTGGACTAACCATTATATATGATTTGTCAAACATTTTATTTATATTTTTGAAGTAACTTATTCAAAATTAGTCAATTAATCAGGTATTTTTTGTAGAGGCGAAGTGTTTAAGGGCACGTCACCCAAACACTAAACACTAAACACTAATTAAAATGATGCAGGTTTACTGTTCTGTTTATTAATCAATAACGCCTCGTTTTAACGTAATGTATTAAACAAACCTGGTACCTTTGAAGGGCGTCTGAGACTAAATATAAGTGAATAGCTATGTGTACTTTATTTTATGCATCAACATTGACTAACATGAGAGATCGTCTTCAATTTATTGCGAATGATTTGGAGTAAGGCCAGAAATTGTCTCAGTGTAAGAGTATCGAATGATTTATTGCACACTCAATATCTAGAATAAAAAATCTCAGGTAAACCCGTGCATAAGTTTCACCTTGTTGATATTTGTTTTTATTTCGGCTTTAACAAATTGTTCCCGTTGACTAGAGTGGGATCGCATTTATTATCGAGGGATAAATTGTCGCAAAAACCCTACAAAGTGAAATATGATTAGACACCGCTAATTAAGAAAACAGTAGTCTTCTAAGAATCAAGAGTTCTAACCTGTAAAACTTGTTAACCATAACTTTTATGAGAATAGTAGAATTCTGAAAAAGTAATTAAGTAATTTGTCACAAATTTAAAATTTGACACAGTTTCTAAAATAGTAAAATTGATTGTTGTGGGTAGTATTTTAATTACGTAGGGAGATGGAAGAAAACTATAATTAACGTCTAGTTTGTCCTGAGAATAACACAGAGTTGAGCTAGTAATCGAACTATAAAACCTAAATGCTCATGCTAATGGACTCATACAAATAAAATAACAGTTATTATCAAAATAACTTAACATAATTTTAATGACCAAAACATTTGTTTTAAAATGAATTTGTGATCGCATCTGATTTGAAAAAGCTTATAAATAAAATATATCTTGCAACAAAACTATCTATTACCTAGCAGTAGCATCACAGAAATTCTGAGGAACAGTAACACGAAAATTGCATGATAGAAAATATTAAACTGTTTGTAACACCTATTGCATTAAATTGAATCTTTGAATATTGATTAACTAATCTCAACAGACTATTAAGCGGCTTTGTCCCAGATAGTTAAGCTAGTCTTAATTTATTGCGTTGGCTTTACAATTGATTATATAAATAATCCTGCTTGATTGAGTCAAAAAACGTTCCACAAAACAAAGCAAGTAAGTCATTTTTTCTGTATGGTCTATTACAGAAAATAACTAGAATTAAAAAATATATATATTATCTTAGTAATAACCACATTAAAGCTATATACCTATTATAGATTATTAGTGTTCTTATTTTAACAATTTGCAACAAAAACCGCACTATAACGTCTGTTAATAATTACGGATAAATAAAAAATCCCTAAACTAAGTTAAATATATTTTACTTTAAAATTACAATCAATCGCCAATTCGCAAAAAATATTTAATATAAAAAACATAAATGTAAACATGAATTGTAGGATAGAGATATGCTTGGGTCATAGTGAAAACAATGAATCGCATTACAAAGGGTAGGCTAAGTCAATCCAGATTTCAATTTTCAAACGCCTTTTGTGTAGAATATTATAAACTGGGATTCTCTTATTGGAACTTTATCCTTTCATAATTCAATTGATTAAACTTAATCAGAGTATCATTATTCCCACATTACCTTATAAAAAAGGTCTGAAACCAATAAACAGTTGCAAACTAAAGAAATTAGTTCTAATCATGAAGTGTTTTCTTGTTAAATTAATTTTGCCAAAATGTTTTGGTAGCGCCATTGTCAGATATATGATGAACAAAAAAATGTCAACCCAATAAAAAATATAACTATGTTATGACAAATAAAAAGCTTGAACTAGAAAAAAAGTCTTAATCACATAAACTGTTTAACTTTAATATCAGATGATTTTTTTGCTTTCCAGCATTTACTATTGGATGTTCTAGCTAACTATTTTGATATGCATTACAAATACCACCTGTTGATCAAATTAAAAACCTTAAGATTAAAACCTAAAATATTGTAAGAGATGAACTATTGCAATTATAAATCTTGGCCCAACTTAAATAATATTCCATTCGGTTAAGAAATTTAATTGTTATAACATGAGGAAATTATATATTTATATATAATTATTTATTTATTATATAATTATATATTTATTTGACAAAAACTCTGTATTTTTATTTGTAAACCCCTTATGACAGTTTGAAATCAGCTTTTACAGTGTTTGGTTTGTGTAAAAATCGGTTTGAAAAAGTAATTTTAAAACTACGATTGCATTGGAATACATACAAGGGTTAATAGTTTATACTTCATTTTATGCGAAAACAGAATTTTAAATCTGTTATTAATTCAAACTCAATAAAAATACATATCTGAGATAACTGTAATTTCATCACAGTTAAATCTGCCTGGATAAATAATTATAAGTTTGACCATTAAATAGGATATTGTTGTAATATTATCAGCTTAGAAATACACCGAAATTGATATACAGCATAATACAACTGAGGACAGCAATTTTGCAATAATGTGTTATGTCTTGTTATAATGTGGGTTTCAAGGGCAGATTTTTATTTTGGTATTTTTTGTTAGCTCAGCCAGTGATGCGGGTTTACTTAGTTTTTTTAATGACTTAAGATTAAAAATTGCAAAACAAAATATATGTTGTATAAATAGCACTAATACTAGGTGAAATTGTTTCATGTAGGCCCTAATCGTACCTTATTTTATTAATGACTTTAAACAGGATTTTTGGAATTTTATTGTTGTATGGAAACGAAAGTCCGTGAATATTTCAATTTTATATTTTAAACCTTCGAAACAAATCAAATACCACAGAACAATCTTCAGTCCCGTAGTACTAGTTTATGCATAAGTTTAATTTAGCCCATAGTAGAGAATAGAGGATTTTAATAAAAAGTAATGAAAAATAGGCCAAATATCGTGGGCACATCATGTTTTTATATAGTCAATTTCACTCATGAGTTAAGGTATTTAGTATGATGATGTGAATGGCAGAGTGAGGGTTTGTGGTGGGGGGGGGGGGAGGAGGAGGAGCCATGATTGCGGTGAGTCGTAGAGTGGAGAGAGACCAAATAAATCGTGAGCTGATTGCCGGCTGCTGATTGCTCTGCCAATGCTACTGCCATCGCAATCGCCATCGTCATCATCACTATCTTTTCCTCTCTTGTTCTCACTGTATATTTCAATTTTACTTTGCCATAGATCATTTTATGAAGTGCCATACTTATATGCCACAAGCTAGGATAAAAACAGTTAATTCATTTTTTTTATCAAAGCAATATAATTTATACATTTGAGGTTGCATTTTAAATAGGTGTATTGTTATTCGCTACCTTTAATTTGTCTAAGAAGCTAGTAAATGTACACAAAATTAAAACTTTTGAGAAGGTTTAGTTTTTTTTGCTACAAATAAATAAAAAAAACTTAAAATAATCAGCATACCGGTACTAAAAATACAGGGTGGGGCAGCATAACTTCTTTTTTTTTATGTGCGCCATTTTGTTTGTTCATGTCATAGCGAAGAGCTAGCAGTCTCGTTCGAGAGGCGAGGCTATAAAGTTTTGTCCTTGCACAGTTTAGTCGCCATTATGGGTTGGAACAGTGAGGAGCGTGTGTTTGCTGTTGAGGCCTACTTTTCGAGTGGATCAGTGATTGCAGGCCAGC